AAACATCTGGAAGGTACCATGTTGCCTAACCCTGGTCTGTAGGATTGCTCTGTGAAGGGTAACAAAGCTTCAAGGAGTTTTCTGTGTTACAAAGCTGACAGGTTGAAAATAGCATCAGAATAATTTAGAGAATTCCACTGGCAGAAAACATATGCTCTTCCTTCACGGAGAACATTTTCCAGTGGAGGATTTGCAGGCCTCTGACCTTCATACTCTGGTAGATTATGTTTGTTATATAATTCATGAGTTTATCAGATCGAAATATCTGACACCTCACATTTTCGAGAAGCCTGCTTCTAATTAATTCCTGGTGCCTTATCGTATCCTCTTCTTGATTTCTCAGATTTAAACAGCGTTCCACAGCTGCTGGCCTGAATATTTTGCGCTATCTATCTATCATCTATCTATCTATCTATCTATCATCTATCTATCTATCTATCTATCTATCTATCTATCTATCTATATCTATCTATCTATCTATATCTATCATCTATCTGTCTGTCTGTCTGTCTGTCTATCTATCTATCTATCTATCTATCTATCTATCTATCTATCTATCATCTATCTAATCTATCTATCTATCTATCTATCTATCTATCTATCTATCTATCTATCATCATCTATCATCTATATGATTTTTGTGCTGAGTTTTTCCAACCTATAGTAACATTTATTATTATTATTGTTATTAATTGAATTTATATATAGCTCTTTATAAATTCAATTATTATTATTAATAATAATAATATCTGTTTCTATAGGTTGGAAAAACTAAGCACAAAAATCATATCGATAGATAGATAGATAATATAGATAGATAGATGATAGATAGATAGATAGATAGATAGATAGATAGATATAGATAGATATAGATAGATATAGCTCTTTAGGGATGCGGGTGGCGCTGTGGTCTAAACCACTGAGCCTAGGGCTTGCCGATCGGAAGGTCAGTGGTTCGAATCCCCACGACGGGGTGAGCTCCTGTTGCTCGTTCCCAACTCCTGCCAACCTAGCAGTTCAAAATCACGTCAAAGTGCAAGTAGCTAAATAGGTACTGCTCTGGCGGGAAGGTAAACGGCGTTTCCATGCGCTGCTCTGGTTTCGCCAGAAGCAGCTTAGTCATGCTGGCCACATGACCTGGAAAAACTGTCTGTGGACAAACATCGGCTCCTCGGGCAGAAAAGCAAAATGAGCACAGCGACCCAAGAGTCGTCCACGACTAGACTTAACTGTCAGGGGTCCTTTTTATATAGCTCTTTACTTGGAGGTCTCAGGGCGGTTCACACAATAAAATCAAAATATAAAACTACAAAAGACATAATCAAAATAAAAACCACAACCCAATAACCACCACCACCCAAAAGGAGCCACATTTTAAAAGGGCATAGATGTCAATCAAATCAACCAAAGGCCTGGTTAAAAAGGAATGTTTTTGCCTGGCGCCTAAAGGTGTATAATGAAGGCGCCAGGCGAACTTCCCTGGGGAGAGCATTCCACAGACAGGGAGCCGCCACAGAGAAGGCCTGTTCTCGTTTTGCCACCCTCCTATGCATAACAGAGCAAGCAAATGATATAACAAAAAAAGGAAATGAATATATGGCAAGGTGTTATCTAAAATGAGAACATAAAAATGAAGATATCATAGCTCCAAGAATAAATAGAAACATTAAATTCATGTACTAAACAGAGACTACCAAGAGTCCTACAAGATGAGATGGTTAGAGGTCAACAGTTGGGTCTCCTGTGATTTTTAAAAATGGCCAGCGGTGCCTGTATGTTTTGTCCCATGGGGCAAAAAGTTGATTCAAGCTCAACCTGAATGCAGTATGTGGAGATGGGGGTTAACTCCTCCTTTCCACCCAGCACTAGAGTCTCCAACTGAATTATGCTACCCTCTCTACAGATGCATTTGCCTTTCAAAAAAGTGGGTGATGAAAAAGTTGGTATGTTGATGTGATGAAAAAGTTGGTATTTTGGCCTTAGTATCATTCTGAATATCACTGTATGTTGAACTTCATGGTAGGGATGTGTGTGCATGAAGTCCTTCAAAACTGCTTATGAAATATCACTCAATTTTCTATTTTGTGCCCTCACTGAAGCCAAACTAGGCATGTTACAAAGTCTCCATCCACACCAGCAGTCGGCAAGGTTTTCCTCGCCTGGGCCGGTTCACTCCAGTGGCGATCCCTCTGTGGGCCAGATCATGCGCGTGCGCATAAGTGCACATGCCCACGATTTCCGGCGTCTGCGTCTACGCGGATGCGATTTCCAGCATCTGCGCATGCACAGATGTGATTTCCGGCTCAGCGGAAGCAAGTCCCCGCGCCGTGCTGCACTGGTTTAGCACAGCACGCGGGGACTCGCCAAGTGGGCAGCTTCCTTTGGGGCCAGTTAAATGACCCCAATGGGCCACTTGTGGTCCATGGCCCTAGGCTGCCAACCCTTGATCCACACTATACATTAAAAACACCATCATGCCACTTTAAACAGGCATGGCTTCTCCCAAGGAATCCTGGGAAGTGTAGCTTGTAGAGAGTTACGACGGGACCCCTCCCTCCCTCACAGCTTCACAAGTGGTTTAACAATCATTCTCTCTTCCCACTTTTTCTTCTTCTTCACACAGATCTTTTTACATGCTGTAAAACCAATGTCTCAAATTCCTTTCTGACAAATATTGGAAGGTGTGGGTCACATTCAGTGTAGCAGCAAGCAGCACTTCGAGTGAGTGGAATGACTTTGTCTTACACAACAGGGATTTCCCCCCCCAGTTCTCTTCTTCCAAAGCACCCCCTAACTCTGTTCTGGGTTTCCCCACAACACTCTGGAACAGGGTGCATGAGCAGGCGAGGTGGGTGGGTGGGGAAGGAAGTGAAGTCCTATGGTGCAAGAGGAAGTAGTTCTGCTTGCACATTTATTTCGTAGAATACAACCCAATGTGACTTGCTCCCTCCATCCTATGGGGAGATTTGATGGCAGCGAATAGAACTCGCATGAGCAGAGAGCAACCGCAGGATTGTTGCCTTTTTTCATAAGCAAAATAGTAGTCAGAGCTACAGGAAATAAAAAATGGGGGGGGGGCAAGGGGGAGACATCCCCAAGTACCCCAGTATGTTACTCATTCATCTTGCCTAATCATGCTTTCCTTGAATTCTTGCCATCACCCCTTTCATGGAGACGGTCCATCGTCAATGCATGTGTGGTCTTCTTTTGTGCAGAAAAGCAAGCAGAAACCCTTCCCTTTTCATTCCTTCTTCTTTGTACAAACGACTCCTGCTGTGAACGGGCGGTCCTAGACCACCCAGTGGGCCTCCGAGTGAAAAATAATCAAGTAGTCATTAAGGAAAGGGCTGAAAGAAAGGAGCATATTTTCTAAAGGTCACCTGAACCCACTGAGCACTTACATGCTGGAAATTATAGCGTGATTCTTTCTGAGTAGTACAGGACTAAAAGACCCTGTAAAGAAAAAGATACAAAGCCATTTTATAGTGCAGCCTTTTTTTAATGTTTAAAAAGCACCTTTCTCTCCCTCTCCTTATCTGCATGTTGATCTACAGCTAAGTGCAAACAAAATATTGAAATGTGAATATTCAGGACTCCTGCTTGCTTCCCTTTAGCCGAACTCTGATTCCTGGCCAGGGAAGGCTCATACGTGTACACAGCTCTCTGTTGCTGTATGTTGATAACACAGAAAACTTCTTTATACCAGGGCAAAATACTCCATTGGTCCCTTCACTAACCCACCTCTCCTCTACCTTATTCAGCAAGCAGGAAGGTAGTCATGGCATGTGGTTGGCAAGCAGAGAGGTGGGCAACCGAAGGAGAGATGAAGCAACATGAATGGTGGAAGACAGCATTGCTCTTGACACATATTCCTCCACAACCTCCAGGTTCTGCAAGTGGCAAGCAGATTGACCAGACTCAATGTTGGCAGCCTTGTGTATTCAACACATATAGTATTCTCCAGCACTGCACTCTGGTTTTGTCTTTCTTCTTGCTTTGCCAGGCTAGTACTCAAGGCAGCTTATGCAGGATAAGCAACATGTTGCAAACAGCTCTGTATTTTTGCCTGGTGGGGCTGGCAGAGAGACCTGGTAGAACTGGCATAGCACTGGGCTCTGGGCCAACTGATGACCTGCTTGTCTTTCTCCTGGGATATAGGGCTAGGGAGGAAGGCTTCCTGCGCTTGCAGGCTTCCCCTTAATGGGTTATACTCAATGTTAGTCATACTCATTGAATCATAGAAGCATAGAATGGTAGAGTTGGAAGGGAACCCGAGGGCCATCTCATCCAACCCTATGCAATGCAAGAATCTCAGCTAAAGTATCCATGGCAGATGACCATCCAATCTCTGCTTAAAAACCTCCAAGGAAGGAGAGTCCACAACCTCCTGAGAGAGACCGTTCCACTGTTGAACAGCTCTTACTGTCAGAAAGTGATTCCTGATGTTTAGTTGGAATCCCCTTTCTTGTCACTTGGATCCATTGGTTTGCATCCTACCCTCCAGAGCAGGAGAAAACAGGATTGCTGCTCCATCCTCCAGCTCTTATTGTCAGAAAGTGATTCCCGATGTTTAGTTGGAATCTACTTTCTTGTCACTTGAATCCATCGGTTTGTGTCCTAACCTCCAGAGCTTGCTCCCTCCTTCACGTGACAGCCCTTCAGATATTTGAAGATGGTTTTCACATCTCTCAGTTTCCTCTTTTCCAGGCTAAACATACCCACCTCCTTCAGCCATTCCTCATAAGGGTTCAGACCTTTGATCATCTTGGTTGCCCTCCTCTGCACACATTCCAGCTTATCAATATCCTTCTTAAATTGTGGTGCTCAGAACTGGACACAGGACTCCAGGTGTGGTCTGACCAAGGCAGAATAGAGTGGTAGCCTTATTGAAATAAACAGATGAGAGAGAAAACTCACTGATTTCAATGGGTTTACTCGGCGTATGACTAGCACTGGATTTCACTCAATATATTTATTCAACAAAGTCCTTTGTTTTACAGACACAAAGAAGTAATTCCTACCTGCTGAATGCGAGGCCCCGGGGAGGCCACAAGAAGGCTAGCAGGAACTGCAGCAAGCAGGCTTTCCTCCTCCACTGAAGTGAGATACATTGAGCCTGGAAATCATATGTGGGGAGGAATGTGCCCAGAATAAGGATGAAGGATGAATTTGTTCACTTTGCATTTTACTGGGAACTTACGTAAATCCCTGAACTGAAAAATAGCTATCCTTTAAAATTGCAGCAGCAAAGGGACTGTGACCAACATCATGGGAAGGTGAAACTGTCCCGCTCCCTTGTTATGTTATTATGAAATTGTTCTTGCGATGGGAGATTTTGAGAGGTTTTCCTGTTTTCTTTGCTGAAAGCAGCTTTGAGCATGATCAGTTTTGTGGAAATACAGATAAAAATAATGAATGGATGAATGAATTTTTCACCTCTCTGAATTTTGCAGTGCACTTCTCCAAAAAACAAAAAGAATACCAAAATAACATGTACAGTATAAGGGGAAAGTATATATTAGTGAAAAAAATGTACAAGATGCATTATATTAGGGGAAATTGTTTCCAAAAAATGGGTATATTATTGGGAGAGATGAACGTAAAATGTGAACAAATGTACATGCAGACTTTTAAAAAAAGAAGTTCAAAAACTGATGCAAAGATGGAGCAAACTGAATATTAGAAAAAGTGACAGATTTGTCCATCCCTAGACCAGAGTACTCTCTTCTGTCAGGCATAAGAAGCTTTTCAGTGGTTCTCCCTCACTGAGTAACTGCACAAAATTACAGTCTTGAGGAATAAATATTTAATTCTCTCTCTGTGTGTGTGGCTAAAGAAGTGTCTGTGTTGAAGAACGATTATTGGCAAAATGGGGGGGGGGGGGAGTTTAAAGATGAGACAGCTGTATATAAGGGACAAATTTTGAGTGGAGGAAATGGAATTCAGGTTATGCCTCTTTTGAATAGTGGTAGGGGGTGTGAACTGGTGAAAGGTTTGAATTTCTCACACAGACTGTTGCCTTGGTTCATTCTGCTTTGTTTGAAAAGTGAGCAAAAGTTGTACCATAAATGGGCTGCTGCTTGAAAAGTGCAAGTAAATATTATGATCTTGTCTCCTAAAGCTAATAAGGCCCTGATTACTTCGCAATTCCTTGACTCTGTTCACTTATTCATGTTGCAGGAATCTTGGCAGCCTCAAAGACCGCATTATGGCAGGTGATTGACGGGCTGGAGGTACTGCTTACACTGGCGGAGGAAGAGGAGAGTGGAGGGAGCGCACCGCCCCCAGCAGCACGATCCCTTGGGTGCCATCACACCTGCCCCCTGCCTGCGCTGGGTGCCCTGCCCCTGCAGGCAGTGCGCCGCAACCCCAGGATGCATGCCACGCCCCTAGAATGCATGCCATGCCCCCAGGATGTGTTCCAGACCCGTCCCCACCTGCTCTCTGCCCCCTGGTGCCAGAGCATGAAGCTGCGTCACTGACTGCCTACCTGTCTAAAGTAGCCCATCGATGCTGGGCCAATTCTAGAACTGGCTCACTGACCGGATACATTTCCCCTCCCCTTGGTAAAATGGTAGTGTGAAGAGGTGTGAAGTGTACCCCACTTAAAAATGAAAAGCTTGGGGCAATGGTATGAAGCTTAGGTTCTTTTGGATGAGAGAGTGCCAGGGTCTTATGTAATACAGTGGTACCTCTGGTTACATATGCTTCAGGTCCTAGTGGAGTACTGTGTCCAGTTCTGGGCACCACAGTTCAAGAAGGACACTGACAAACTGGAACGTGCCCAGAGGAGGGCAACCAAAATGGTCAAAGGCCTGGAAATGATGCCTTATGAGGAACGGCTAAGGGAGCTGGGCATGTTTAGCCTGGAGAAGAGGAGGTTAAGGGGTGATATATGATAGCCATGTTCAAATATATAAAAGGATGTCATATAGAGGAGGGAGAAAGGTTGTTTTCTGCTGCTCCAGAGAAGCGGACACGGAGCAATGGATCCAAACTACAAGAAAGAAGATTCCACCTAAACATTAGGAAGAACTTCCTGACAGTAAGAGCTGTTTGACAGTGGAATTTGCTGCCAAGGAGTGTGGTGGAGTCTCCTTCTTTGGAGGTCTTTAAGCAGAGGCTTGACAACCATATGTCAGGAGTGCTCTGATGGTGTTTCCTGCTTGGCAGGGGGTTGGACTCGATGGCCCTTGTGGTCTATTCCAACTCTATGATTCTATGATTCTATGATTCTAGGTTACAGACTCCGCTAACCCAGAAATAGTACCTCGGGTTAAGAACTTTGCTTCAGGATGAGAACAGAAATTGTGCTCTGGCGGTGCAGCAGCAGCAGGAGGCCCCATTAGCTAAAGTGGTGCTTCAGGTTAAGAACAGTTTCAGGTTAAGAACGGACCTCCGGAACGAATTAATTACTTAACCTGAGGTACCACTGTATTGGCTTTGCTTACAGATAACACAACTAGAGCCTAGTGGAAACAAACACACTTCTTCAGTAGGCAGCATAGCAGCTAACCATGCTTCTCAGGCAGAATAAGAGTGCCCAAAGGCACTTCAGCCAACTCAAAGCTCTCTGCCTTGATATTTCAAACCACAAAACCACCTTTTGCTGCCTCATTGCCCCTCTGCCCTGGAAAATGTGATGGGTGATAACTTCTCAAGGTTGCATTCCAAGCCATCAGGAGAAGCATCTCTCAGTAATTAAGGCCATTAGACTTTTATTGTTGCCCAAAATCTTAGTTGTTCATTTAGAATTTCTAGATGGTGAAACTCACAAGAGGATTTTGCATATAATGTATTCCTACCTTGAAAAATTGTGATGTGGTTTAAAAACTTAAAAGCTAAATAAAAAAATGTTTGACTTATGGGATCTGTAGCAGTGAAGTCATCCAAACTCAAGTAGGCCATGGAATTAGGATCGTAAAGTCTGGCACAGTAGTTCAAAATAGCAAATACATTGTCAGCTCCAATGAGTGATGATAGCCTTGAGATTTGGAAAGATGTTGGTGCCACAGCAGAGTGATTGAAGTCCCTGTATGGAGAATTGGAGATCGTCATTCCCTAGGAACAAGGTATGTATCAATGTTTTCTCTTCCTTTGCAAGAAATAAAAATACCAGTGTTTCCCCATTTCCTTTTAGTGTTAGACAATAAATGGATTTAGTGGGCTAAGAGCCAAGGCCTGCTACAGCTCATTTCAAAATGCAAGAGAGAGAGACAGAAAATATAATTCTACCCTTCTTAAGCAGACCATTTAGAGACACTGACCTTGAAAAGGAAACAAGATTTAGCCATGTTCAAATGTTGCTTCATGGTTTGCTTTTTGAAACAGGCTGTTGTTATGGCAAAGGAGCAAATCATTCAAGCACCAACTCTGTGGGTCGGCCACAGGGAATGTTCCCTACACCTCTTCGTTCTCTTCTTGCTGCACTCTACTTCTCACTCCTTAAGCCAGAGATGGAGAACCTGGCACCCCCAGATGCTGGTGGCCTCCATCAGACCTAGCCAATGTCAGGGATGATGGGAACTGTAGTCCAACTACATCTGGAGAGCCACAGGTTACCAAACCGTATTGTAAACAAAAACCACGGATTTCTGGTTAGGCAAAAGTGCAGTACATCTTTATGGATAGCATTTTCAGAGTGCATTCAAAATGCAGTCTCATAGACTTTCATATGCCTGTGATCGTTCCCCCTGCCATTCCGCCCCAGAAGGACTGAGCGCTTTTTAGAGGCTTTGAAGAAAAAGATTTGACTCGACTGAGTGACATTTAATTAAAACCATAAAGGGACTACTGCTCATATAAAACTGCCTGTTACAGTGTACATTTAATTTATATCCCCCAAGAAGCACAATGGAGGCTGAATCTGTCTTCATATGTACCTTTGCCAGCACTTGTATCACGGGATTTTTTTTGGGATTTTTTTATCTTAGTTTTTAATTAAAAATTGAAAATCTATATCACCGCCACTAAACATCTGGCACTATTTGGCCCACCGAGTCCCCAAAGTAATATGGTCTGGTATTTTGCACCATTTGTCATTCAGAAATAATGTTTCTCTCTGCACTCCAATACTCTGAGCTCTGGTAGTTTATTTGCTGAGTAATATCACTATTCATTTTAATAGAAACTTCAATAGAAACTCTGCACAGAATGCCTGGCTTTTCATCCAGTAAGAATTTCCAGTTTTTAATGTGTATCTGCATTGATTTGACCTCACTTGTTTTTCCTCTCCTGGATGTATTAAATAGAGAATTTAATTATTATTATTTATTCAATTTCTACGCTATCTTTCCTCCCAAAGGAACCCAGGGTGTGGAGCCTATCCGAATGAAAAGCAAACTCTGCAACCATCCAGGGCTTTCTTTTTTACAAGGATGGCTACGTCAAATCCTTTCCTGGGCTGATTATCTCCTCTATAGGTCACATCCCAGCATGTCTGAGTTGAAAGGGGCCCAAGGATCATCTAGTCCAAACCCCTGCAATGCAGGAATCTCAGCTAACACATCCATGACAGATGGTCACCCAACCTGGCCATCCAGCCTGTATCACCTTTCCACCCATTGCCTCAAATTTGCACCCCACTGCATGCTTAACCTGAATGTCTGCATTACTAGTCAATAAACTAGGAGCGCCCTATAGACTTTATTCTTCTGTGCACACTGTGTGTAGTCTTGTGAGAAAGGACTAGCAATCTTTTAACAGGGAATTCTCTGTGCCTAACCAGGACTCTTTGGGAGAAACCACAGTACAGTCATACCTCGGGTTACAGATGCTTCAGGTTGTGTTTTTTTGGGTTACGGACCGCCAAAACCTGGAAGTACCAGAATGGGTTACTTCTAGTTTTGGCGGTCGCGCATGTGCCAAAGTGCTATATCGCACTTTGCGCATGGGCAGAAGTGCCGAATCGCAACCCTTGCATGCGCAGACGCGCCACTGTGGGTTGCGGACACTGTGGGTTGCGAATGTGCATCCCGCACAGATCACATTCGCAACCCGAGCGTCCACTGTATTTTACAGTGGTACCTCTGGTTACGTAATTAATTCGTTCCAGAGGTCCGTTCTTAACCTAAAACTGTTCTTAACCTGAGGTACCACTTTAGCTAATGGGGCCTCCCGCTGCCGCTGCGCCGCTGGAGCACGATTTCTGTTCTCATCATGAAGCAAAGTTCTTAACACGAGGTATTATTTCTGGGTTAGCGGAGTCTGTAACCTGAAGCGTATGTAACCTGAGGTACCACTGTACTCTCACAAGAGGACGTGTTGGCCTTCAGCTTGGCTGGCTTTGAAAGAAGGTTGTTGTGATGATAAAATAACAGAGAAGGGAATGGACCATTCATGTCACCTTGATTTCCTTGGAGGAGAAGTGTGATATAAAATGTAATAAATAATATCGGTACCGAGGAATGTTCAACCCTTTCCCAGTCCTGATGAAGGGGAAGTTTGCTCTAATCATGCCTACGATCACTTTTGATGCCATGGGCTGTGGCATTTCTTCAAGGACTCTTCGTTATCACTAAGGTTCAATTATTTGATTGTTTTCACGAGGGCTCTTTCCCAGCTGTTCTTTTGATGATGCTTCCCAGTGGCCTCCCTTGGTAAGAGACAAAATGGGCCAATCTCATATAATGAGAATAATAATAATAATAATATATATATTTTTAACCGACTTGAGGAAATGCAACAGCTGCTCCAGTGAAGGGAAAGGAAGCCTGTTTGAATGACAATGAGAAATGCTTTTCAAATAAAAAAGGGACTAAAATCAAAGGCATTGTCCTTAACATCAGACAAAATGAGGGGACTCAATGCCTTCAGGATTAAAACGAGAACACTCCAGAACAGAGCCAGGAAACCCATAGGGGACTGCCTGGTAATGTTTAACTCAATAGGAATGAGGAACTTGATACTTAAAACAAGTTACCATAAAAAACTCATAATAGGCGGTAGACCAATAATTGTCCTGAAAGAGATCCCGGTCAGGCTATTACGTAAGAGGGAAGGGTACAGACACATAATAGGTGTTCTGAGAAGGAACAATATCCAATATAGATGGGAATTCCCCGAGGGAATCGCTTTCTTTTTTAAGGATAAGAGATTTAAACTGACCAGCTCACTAGAAGTAGAAAAGTTCCTGAGAAGATACGAGAAGGAGCTTACCAAAAAGGAGAGTGGAACATTAAGAAGAAAGGAGGTGGAGGAGGGGGGGAGGGGGAGGGGGGGAGGGCGAGGCTACAGAGGGGGGAGGAGGAAGGAGAAAGAGAGGAAGTTGAGGGGGGAAGTGCAGCGGAAGGGGAAGAAACAGGGGAAGAAACAGAGGAAGAGGAAGAAGTAAAGAATTAATAATCGGATATAAACATTACGCTTCTTCTAAACAATGTCTTTAACTTTTTTAACATGGAATGTTAACGGTCTAAATGAGAAAGCGAAAAGAAATAAAATAGTGAAAGTCTTGAAAAATAAAAAATGTGACGTGGTGTGCTGCCAAGAGACCCATGTGGCCAAAAAACATAAACATATATTGATCAATAAAAAGCTGGGAAAGGAGTTCATTAACTCAGAGGTAAATAAAAAGAGAGGGGTGGTCATTTATGCCAAAGAAAAACTGGAACCTAAAGTAATATGTAAGGACGAGGAGGGGAGGATCCTAGGGATCCAAATTACGCACCAAGGGGAAAGATTTAATGTAGTATCGATATACGCCCCTAATACAAACAAAACCGAGTTCTTTAGTAAACTGGAACAAATATTATTAGA